GACGTAAACTACTGGGAAAAGCAGGTGCGCGGACAAAAAATCGTTGACGAAATGTCCTATAACCCCTTTGAATGTTCAGGTTTTTGACGTCATCCACCACGGTGGTGACACCCTTGGTTTCTTCCATCTTGCTTTCATCAATCGATGAGACGCACATTTGTACCGTTTGTCCAACGTAAAACTTGGATAAAATCAAGGTGGAAGAAATCAAGGGTGTCACTACCACGGTAGATGACGTACGAAACCCGACTTTTCAAAAGGCGGTATCTCGGTTAATATTGAACGTAGAAGAAAGTTGTTGTTTGGACAGATCTCATTATTTTTAGCCAATCTACAAGAATCAAGCATCGGAACACGATTCTGTGACCAGCGACTGACTCATTGTCAACGACAGTAAAAATAGATGGATACATAACACAGACACACAAATACAAATACAGGCTTGGGTCAATATTTTTTCCGTGGTAGTAGTGTGAATTCGCGGCTGAGTCACTTTATTGCTTTTGAATGCAATGGACCACTAGACAAGGTACGAATTTCAGCATTCTGATACATGCTTCGTGACTAAAATTTCATGTAGAACACGATGCGCACATCAAAAATTACCGCCATTAACTCCTTGCGAAGATATTAATGATTCTTGGTGCGTGAATTCAAATCACCCGCTCATGAAAACTCAATGCTCTACGTGATTCACATCGCGCGCTAAACGTTATCATGACAGTCTCTGCGATATAAAAATCTGGCAACCTCAATCTTGACGCTTTGGCTCAGCTATAGCAAATTGCTTAGAGTTTGAACAACACATGGTAGGAGCTAAACATTGCTCGATTGAGAAGATTACTGAAACCGTTGTAGTGGGCGATTTGACTCACGTAGAGCTTTGAGTTTCTTGTGAGCGGGCAGTCCAAATTCCTCGTAACCAATGTAAAATAAAAATGTTAACAGCTTCGTTAGGAGTTTGTTTCAGTAATTTTCGTTGCGCGAATCGTGTTCTACGTGAAATTCTGGTTAAAATACATGTATCAGAATGCTTAAATTCGTACCTTGTCTAGTGGTCCATTCAAAACCCATGGAAGCACTGTGCGGTTAAAGGAGAGCAAGACTGGACAACTTAAAACAGTCCTTACCTTGATTTATCGTCCATTTCTATCGCACTCATTGATCAGATGCGGCATTCCTTGGCCAGTAAAAGGGACACCTGGCGCAGATCATCCTTGCATACGCATCAAGCGACCCTTTCGAAGACTGTGTTGAGACATCTCTCGACTAAATTGATGAACCAACTAAGCCTAAACATATATATGGATAGGTAAATTGTCTCTAACTTAGATTCAAATTTTTCCACCATTTTCTCATCCAAGAAGCGTCCTATCAAAATTTTTGCCAAAAAGGTCCTCTGTTCTTAAACTGAAGAATATCCTGAACGGCTTTTCAAGGGATATAAAAACTGACAGATTACGAGATAAACAATTTTGTAATCGTGTTTTACCAATTTTTACTTGTTTTAAATTTTTTTTTTCACTTACTTTGACGCGTTTGCGACGAGCGGGCCTAGGAAGAGACCTGAGAATCCAATCCATCAATTCCGAAATGGCCTTGGTTACGTAGAAATTAAAGCATTTCAAGAAAAGGAGATCTGTACACATAGGCAAATAAACTACACGAATTAAAGGTGCTCGATAGACAAATATTTCCTTAATTATCATATATCACAACAGCGTGTTTACCTTCGGATGAAAACAAAAAATTTACGTGAATCTGCGAGAATCCGAACTTTACATGTGTCCCATTTTAGTTGCGCAAGGAAATTCAAAACGCCTTCAATTTTTGGGTAGGCAACATAAGTATCCTTTAAGTTTGTATTGTTGCGTTCATATATGTTGCTGTCAACGCGACGCAACCTTGTCTTGACGTGCCTTAACTATGAACTCACTAGAATAATGCCAATCGTTTGAGTTTTTATTTTCATATTTATTTTTCTTTTTAGGTCCTACAGCGAAGTACATGTATATTTACAATTACATGTAGTTTATTACGTGGCCATTGATCTCATTAAACTTTTGTGATTGTCCTCAGGATGTTAAATTTTAGTACAGTGAAACATGTTACGCCGTGCCAAGGAAAAACGCCGTATCAACATTCCAGAGTTGCCAGACTTCCTTCGATAAAATATTAATTTTTGAGGAAAGTTATGAGTATGTTTCCTTGAAATTTTCAGGCGCTTAAGGTGAATTGGCGCGAAAAATTGTCAGAGAAAATGGAAGGAAAATACTCATAATTTTACCAGAATTATTATGGTGTATTAAAGGAATTGTCGCATCGCCTGAAGGCTTATACGGCGGTTTTCCTTCGCACAGCAATATAAGGACGTCGTAAAAAGATTGGGTTGGTTAGGCAAACAGCTTCCTTACTTAACGTTATGCTTAAAAAAGGGGTACGGCAGTGTTCTAACGGAATCTCTCGGTCCATAGAAATGTTTTCGTCATGGGAAGGTTTACCGGACAGGTTTTTCCTTTAAGGTGATTCGATGGACGCCATATTTTGTGTCAGAACGGCATGCGATATATCGCATCAATTGGTTCCATTTATCAGCTACTCGTCATTTTTCTCCAATTTTGAGTTCGCAATTCTGTTGTCAGGAGACTAAAGCACTCGCTTACCAATTTTAACAAAGAAATTCAACGTGATAAAGGCGTGGTTTTTTTTAGAGAGAAAATATCGCATTCGAGTGCAGTTTCGATATCAGTATCGAATGCTATTTTTTCCCTCTGAAAAAACCGCGCCTTTATTACGTTGAATTTCTTTGTTAAAATTGGTAAGTGAGTGCTTTAGTCTCCTGACAACAGAATTGCGATCTCAAAATTGGAGAAAAATGACGAGTAGCTGAAAAAATGGAACCAATTGATGTGATATATCGCATGCCGTTCTGACACAATATATGGCGTCCATCGAATCACCTTAAGATCGGTTTTCCGCTCTGAGCAGAGTACGTTATGAATAGGTTCCACTGTAGTATCTTGTTCAATTTTCCAAACCGTTCTTATAGGCCCCTCAGCCTAAGTGTTCTGCCTGGTCTACAAAACTGTGTAGTTCTTCTAAAATGATTATAAAATATTTGCTAAGTATTTTAAAGGTATTTATAAACAGGTTTGTTGGCATAAATTTATTGCAAAACGTAAATACATGTATATTTATTGAAGCAAAGTCTTACATATATCAATGAGAAAATAGTCATTTATAACGGATCGTCAAAATTTCTTCGTTGAGGATCAATGGTTAAAGTTACTCCTCAAGGGTCAATCAATTCAACAACATGCTACTTAGCCGAAGTAGTGGAAGGTAATTACACGAAAATGCACTGCTCTGCTAAATTAGAAGGCCGTATGAACATTAGAAATTTGTCAAATTTATTTCCTCAGATAAGATACAAATTTCAAAGGAAAATTAAAAAATTAAAAAAAAAATTTGCCTTGAAATATTCAGATACGTTGGATTAAATTGCAAGTAAAATTCTCTGGATAACTGAAAGACAAAAGTTCACACGTTTCCTGAGGTATCCATGTTTCATCAAAAGGGAATTTGGCAAGGTCTGAGGGCTCATGCGGCTTTTTCCCTTAGCACTGCTGTGTATGTGTATGTTTATGCTCACGACAAGTGTCATTCAGCACAGTCTGTGCCAACTGTGTTACATTTTTGGTGCGACAGAAATGGCACCCAGGTATGCATGCTGTAGTATCATACCAAGAAAAGCCGGGGGTTCCCATATCATCAGGTGACATGCGGCAGAAATTGCGAGGTTGACTGGGTTTTTACAGAGATGCAAAATGAAATTTCTGGGAATAAAATTTCGCGTACTTTCATATGAAATTACATTTTCCATGACATTTCTGGGGATTGATAAACGGCCTTTTACAATTATACAAGAATTCCCTGAAGACCCTGGAAATTTAGCTCTTAATGTATGTTTCTCTTTAATTTTTTTTTTTTTTCAAAATGTCAAAATGCAGATTTTACCGTTTCACAGTATACTGAGTCTATCTCAGAAGTTTAACATTTCATAAACTCTCACGAAATTCCGCGAAAGAAACGTGCGTGAAATAGCGGAAAATTTGGCGCAGGTTAAATTTCGAGATTTTTTGGTACGATTTGCCCTATGATCTCTTGAATAAGGTGAGCTCGTAAAATCGAACTTTCATCGTGCCAATCACCAGAACATCAGGTCGGAAAAGTGCATTTTTGGGCAATTCAACACATGTTGACTAGTACCGGGGCGTGAATGATCGATTATCGATATTTTCCCGTTTTAAGCTATGGTAAAGATCCGATTATAAAGGTGTTTGCAATGGTAATGTAGCATCGCGTCCATGAAATTGGACTCCATGCTCAGCTATATAATGTTCGGTTGCTCATCATGTCCAAGATCTTGGACTCCATGTTCACTTTAATAAGGGATTATTTTTTTCGAAAAATCGAAACCAAAAAGCATAGCGTCCAAAATTGTGAGACGCAGGTATTCTTTGACAATAAACGAGCTTGGGGTCCAAAAATGTCTTGAGACAAAGATGTATGATGTATTTGACGAAAAAAAGTGTTCTCGAAAAAATTATACCTGGCTTAGGTTAGGTTAGGTCAGGTTAGGTTAGGTTAGATTAGATAAGTGAAGTATACGATTTTCTATCACGATGAACTTTAAAACTAAGGGAGGTCTACTTGCTTTTGGACTCCGTGCTCAAGCAAAGAAATGAGAAGTTTAGCGATGAGCGTGGAGTCCAAGATCTTGGACGAGATGAGCAGGCAAGTATATCAAGGGTAAGCATGAAGTCCAATATCTTGGACGCGATGCTACACAATCTTTGCAATGAACACCCCGTTCATCGGTTCCTTATCTTCCTTATAACAGTGTAGTATCACTGTGTAAAAAATCAAGTATAGACTTACACTAGATGTCACCATCCTTTTTCTTCAGTGAAGCTAAAGCTGTTTTAATATCTTTGTATCTAACTAAAAGTATAGGATTGCCCGAACTTTTGGTAACCGCCGCCGGCCCGGGGTGCAGCATTGCCGCCGAAAGTGACTGTCCTAGCACTAGCCTTGGGATCTATAGTGACGGTGACGGCCGGGCTAGGTTTGGGCGGCGGCGGGATAGGGCGTGTCGCCCCGGTGTGTCCGGTGGGCGTGTTGCCGAAGCTCCCAGGGGCCGTCCATTGGGTCGGTGGTTGGAAGCGCGGTTTCGAGTCCTGTCTCTGTTGAGGCCAATTGGGCTTCATCGCGGGGGGCGCCGTCCTGGCCGGCGTCTGGTTAGTGGGCGTCTTCGCAGTGGACGCCTGCTTAGCGGGCGTCGGCCTGGTGCGCAGCTTTATGGTGGGCGCATCCTTAGCGGGAACCGTCTTTGGGGGCGCCCCCGTATTGGACGCTGTGGTCCAGGTGGGCGGAGCCTTAGCGGGAACCGTCTTGGGGGGCGCCCCCGGATTGGACGCTGTGGTCCAGGTGGGCGGAGCCTTAGCGGGAACCGTCTTGGGGGGCGCCCCCGGATTGGACGCTGTGGTCCAGGTGGGCGGAGCCTTAGCGGGAACCGTCTTTGGGGGCGCCCCTGCATTGGACGCTGTGGTGGTGGGCGCCCTCGTGTTTACTGTAGCTGTGGGCGCTCTTGCAGTTGGGAACGTGGTTTTTGGTTTTGTCGGCGCAGGGGGCTCTGGCGCAGGTTTGTAGCCCTTTTCCTCCCTCCGCCTGGCGCATTCCTGTCCTTTATTCTCCTTGCGCAGTTTCAGGGCAGCGGATACGCACCGATAAATCGATCTCTGCAAAGCAGTGCCAAAAAATATAAAGTCCATTTTTTGGGGGGACATAGGGAATTGTCTCCACGGGACGTTTCAGGGGATTTGTCCCATACACGGAGAAAAAAACTTCGTGCGTGGGACCCGAAGTTTAGGTCATATGGACCTCTGAAGTTTTCAGATTGAACATCTGAACTATTAAGGTTTAGCTGTCGAGGTTCGGATCACACATCTGAAACTTCAGTTCTTACATCTGAAGTACTTCGGTTCTCACATCCGAATAACTTCGGTTCTCACATCTGAAGTACTTCGGATGTAAGAACTGAAGTTTCAGATGTGTGATCCGAACCTCGACAGCTCGACCTTAGGTGTTCAGATGCTCAATCTGAGACTTCAGAGATCCATATGACCTAAACTTCGGGTCCCACGCACGAGGTTTTTTTCTCCGTGCAGGTTCGAATCGCAGGAATGAAACATTTGGCATTTATCCCAGTTACCGTCTCCAAGGGACTGGGCTCATACACTACCGTGCTAGGCGAGAACGCCGTAAATCCATCAAGATTTTCCCTCGTTCTTTGGAACTTAATACTTCATAAAATAAAAACTATTTTGCCCATGCATCTCAAATTTTCAGGTTAAGTTCTTGATAGTATTTGCAAAAGAATTCTGTAAAAACATTGTCCCAAGGTGAACAAGTTTTTCTGCTATGAAACATTATTTCCAAAAAATGTAAAATGGCGTTTACGGCGTTTTTGCGTTGCACGGCAGTACGAGTACAGTCCTGCGACTAGTTTGCGCGGGAAGATACATTAGTTAAAGTCGAGTATTGAACCGGGATTAAAATACTAAATGCACTCAATTGACAATTAGATACATTATTTCAACTGAACAAACATTAACAATGGAGTAATCAATAAAATATCGTACAATTCGTTTTCACTTCTTCTTCCTCTCTCAGTGAATCTTAGGAGAACAAGGACCATACATTGGTACTGGGAAAAATATCGATTAACTCAATATTTTTCCCAACTTTGTAAGCGGGATTTTTCCCAGGGACAAATCCCGTGAAACGGCACGTGGAGACGAGGGCTAATGGGGTTGCGCTGGTCACAGAATCGTGTTTTGATGATTGATTCCTGTAGATTAGCTGAGAATAATATTCTGTACCGACATTGAGGATGAATCGAGTTCAATGGGCCGCCCTTTTAGCATTTTGCAATTAAGAACAACAATATCTGGCTCAGTTTAGAAAGAACGTATTTATCATTAGTTTCCCTATGCACATGAGAATTTTTACAGATGAGCTGGATATTGTAGTTCCTTCCTGATTGCAAAATCTGGTCCACTTAGAGAACCACAATTTCTGGCTCGGTTCAGAGACGACGCATGTACCTCGAGTTTCCCTGTTTTTACGGATGAGCTAGAAAGTGGACCACGTCAAGCAGAAAGGAACCAAGCCACATCAGCTATTGCCAAGATTCATCGGGCAATTTCATTTTGGTTCAAAACGGTTGTGCATGTTTGTGGATTTCAGTGAATTTTCTGCATAGTACGGAGCAAATTCCTTAAAATTTAAACAAAATCCGCACAAACGTTCTCTTGTAAAAAATTGAATCGCTTCGTTTAATTTGGCAATAGCTTATGTGGTTTGGTTTCTTTCTGCTAATCACGGTCGTATTGTGGGTTCGATTCGGAGAAAATATAGTAATTTTAAGTCATTTACAGTCGATCAAACTCTTACAATTGGAAGCTTTAATTGTCAATACATCGGTCCTCCGACGAAGGAGCACAAATCTATTCCGAGGTTGCAAAATCATTTTCAATAAATCAAGTTTTTACAAAAACGTGTCCGTGCAAACCCTGTTCAAATTGTTTCTGATTTTGATGTGTAATCGGAAAACAACCACTAAAATGCTCAGACGTAAATGCCAACAGTATCCTGGTAAAACGACAATTCGTGCGTGGAAATTTTGCTACGTCGAAATGTAGTTACGATACTTCACTTGAGGAACGGCAAATTTTGACTTGGAAGTGAGTCAGTGTTGATTGATAACACTACAACATGGGAACAGAGCATTATTATTTCCATCGAAATGGAACCGCTTATTTGAAATGTCGTAAGCGTCAAAATTTCAAAAATTGAGCTTTTTAATGGATTATTTTTGCTTGTACCAATAGTCTTTCAGCAAAGTGACGACAAAAAATAGTACGTTTCGGTTATAAAGATCGGGTACTCTCGAAGATAACAATTTTTCTCATTTCTCTCGAAATCATGTGGCATCTGCGGCATTTAGCAAATGATGGATTCAATTCCTTTTTTTTTGCGAAAAAGGCATCACACTCATTAGCGAAACAACTTAATGGACAGGCCATATTGTGAAACTGGACCTACTTTTTTAACTTTGCTCATTGAAAATCAGAAGCAATTATCACTGTAAAGGCCAACAATGCTGGACGCATTGACAAAACCGAAAGTTGGGAGCATAAATCTGAAACTTGAGAAACCCAAGAAAACTTAAAAAAACCCCATCGAGTGAATTGTACCTGCCGTTTTGGAGAGGTGTTTGAAAAATATAGATTTTTATTTTTCTCCGCCGTATAATTATTTTACGTATGCACAGCTTGAGCACTTACTTTTTTTGTTGTCAAGCAAAAAAAGCTGCATGAGCATTTGAGTGTTGCCGAAGTTCCTTTGGTGACTAACACATTTTTCGGAAAACTTCGCTCGCAATTCAATCCACAATGTATTACAATTTGAGGGGGCTGTAAGATCGAGGCTATGAGAACAAATATTAACAAATCATTAAAAATAAGAAACTTGAGCACAAATCACATAGAACACATAACATATGAGACTATGTGTTCTGTACTCTAGTTTTTTTATTTTTAATGATTTGTTAATATTTGTTCTTATGTAATACTGTGATGATGTCTATATTACCCGAAATGCATCGGTGCATTTGTACTTTGTGTCATGTATGTAGGCTAACATTCATTTTTATTTTAAAGTCGATTCATAGATGCAATAATGCACAGTGACAGAAAATCTTTAAGGACATCCCTCTTCCCTCGTAGATTTAGTGCATCTCTAAGAAAAATTCAAAATCTTTGTTACTTGAGGACAGCATTTTTGTATCTTCAATCTAATTTTATTTTTCTTAAATTTATCCATCACGATAATGCTTCTGATGCTTTACGTTGTTTTGATCCCGCTTCATTCCTCTTCTTTTCTCATGAATCATATTCAATATTTTACAACCACTCAGTGATTCTGTCGAGATACGCCATCAAGCAAGTGAAGCCACATTTTTTCAAACGTTTTCCGTGGGGTATGAAAAAAAGTTCGTGCGTCATTCGATCCACGTAAAAACTGAACGACCGTCGAGTTTGAAAACGGAGCTACGCTAACTCGCAACCTGCTCAATATTCCTATTTTTGCAAACCGGCAAAAAAGTGGAGAAATGATCTGCAATCAAACTTCGATCCTCTGCATCGCGATAAGCTCTTTTTTACACGGAATCATATATTTTTGCCTTAATTTTGTTTATTTAATCTATTGTCAGTTGGTTCCGCAAAAGTGAGGCATTCTTTAGAGATGAAAGGTGCGACCAAATTTTTAAGCTTGAAAAAAACACAATTTAATAGTTTGAATTTCTGTTTCCCTAGAGCTACACTAACATTTTCTTTCATTACATTCTTATCATTTTATCTATAAATATAGGTCCTATTTTTGTACTGTTTGTGACGCTCTATTTTTTTGTGCAGCTACAAATTTTGACGAAACAGCCCGATACTATGTTCACGGGAGTAAAACAAGGAAAAAAGCGGGAAACAAGCTTAAAATGAAAAAATAAAAAAACCAAAGACGTTTCGACTCAAAACTGAGTCATTCTCAGTCGGAAAATACGATAAAAATTATAAAATATCGACGAGAAAACCAGAGACCTACATGTATTTACCGACTGAAAATGACTCAGTTTTGAGTCGAGACGTCTCCAGATTTTTATTGTTGTATTTTAGCCTTGTTTCCCGATATTCCCCCGTATTTTATCCCTGTTACTCTTGTATAGCTCTATCTGAGGTCTAATACTACTAATGAAACTTTGAGGGTTAGAGAGGGTACCGTTTTGACATTTAAAGGATTTTTACTTTCTTTTTAATAACGCCCTTATGCGACGCTAAAAATGTCAACATTTAATATCCGTGACAAAAAATGCCCGGTAACACAGAAGCGAGCTGATTGTTGAAAGTGATGCACAGAACAATAGACAAAGACTATATGGATTGCATTTTGCAAAAAGGAACCTTTAGCATTGCAATGATGCTAAGATTGTGCAACTTCATCTTTTGCAATAAAATTGCGGAAATCGTGAAAAACTATGAAATTTAGATGGTAATTTTTGTCTTAAATGTACAGTTTTTAGCGAGTATAAATAGAAACTTTTATGGATAATCGGGTTTTTCCTCCAAGACAAAAGGAGTTGTGATGCACAATCTTAGCAACACTGCAATGCTAGTGGTTCTTTTTTGCAAAATGCAATCCATATAAGGAGTATGGAGCGATCCTATACCAGTTCAAGTGGGTGGTAACTAATGGATCCCTCGTGGGTTGCCGTTAGTTAGTCTATTATTACCTTCCACCTTTGTCCATTATTGCAACCACCTGCCTCCACCGACAAAGTCAGTGCTCCATTTTCCCGGAATCAGCTCCGAATTCCGGAACTTTTGAGATTGTCTCGGATCTTTCAAAATTCCCGAAGTATTCCGGATCACTCGCATTTTCCGAGGCTTTCTCGGAACTTTTGATAGAATCTAAACAGAATCCCGGAACTTTGACGGTCATGGAATGGGAGAAATTGGAACAAAAAAGCTCCGAATCCCGGACTTTTTGACGGCCATGGACTGACCACCGGACAGATGCCGCAATCACACGCTGAATACAGAAGCTAAATGTGGAAGTCAACAGTCATTGCTCGACGGCTGAAATTTCGCAAATCCGAGTTATTTTCATCCAGATGCGTGTCAAATCCATCCGAATAGCTCAGACAAATCCTACA